TACACAGTGCCTTTAATCTGGCACTCTGGAGGCAGAGACAGGCTTATCTCTAGGAGTTCCAGGCCTGCCTCATCTACACAGTGAGTTCCAGGCAGCCAGGGCTCTGTAGTTAAGACCTTATGTTAAAACAAAACAAAACAAAACAAAAAAACTAAAGTGTGTTGTGGTAGTGCACGTCTTTAATCCCATCACCAGGGAGGCAGAGGCAGGGGGATCTCTGAATCTGAGGTCAGCCTGGTCTACAGAGTTTCCCAAGACAGCCAGGGCTACACAGAGAAACTGTCTCAAAAAAACAAGCAAGCAAGCAAGCAAGCAAGCAAGCAACAAAACTAATAGGTCCAAGTGTGTTCAGAAAAGAAAGTGCTTCATTCAAGAACATGAGCCTTCTGCCACATACAGTGCTGTTGTCCCAGCATGAGGCATGGGTACATAAAGGAGGAAGGATCGAGAGTTCCAGGTCAGCCTCAGCTGACCAGTGAGTTGAAGTCTGGCTTGGCCTACACACAAACAGAGGGAGAGGGAGACAGACAGAAAACAAGAATATAAACAAACCTCCCTTCATCTTCCTAGCCCCAGGGCCACCACTTTTTGTTTGTTTGTTTGGTTTGGTTTGGGTACTGGAACAGGGCACTTGCTTCTGATTAAGAATGCAGTTGGTGGGCTGGAGAGATGGCTCAGAGGTTAAGAGCACTGACTGCTCTTCCAGAGGTCCTGAGTTCAATTCCCAGCAGCCACATGGTGGCTCACAACCATCTTATAAGATCTGGTGCCCTCTTCTGGTTTGCAGAGATACATGGAAGCAGAATGTTCCAGATATACATGGAAGCAGAATGTTGTATACATAATAAATAAATAAAATCTTTATTTAAAAAAAAGAATGCAGTTGGTGAAATAAAATCTTTATTTAAAAAAAAAAAAAGAATGCAGTTGGTGATGTCTCTCTAGAGATGGCTCGGTGGTTAAGAGCACTGACTGTTCTCCCAGAGGACCCTGGTTCAATTCCCAGAACACATATGCAGCTCACAACTGTCTATAACTCCAGTTCCAAAGAATACATGTATAGGCAAAACACCAATGCATCTAAAGGTAAATAAATCATTAAAATGGGGGCGGGGCTAGGGAGGAGGTTCAGTTGGAAGAGGGGTTACTAAGCATACACAAAGCCCTAGGCTCCACCCCCCAGCACTATATAACCAGGCCACTCCAGCAATCCTACTCCCCCAGTACTGTATAACCAGGTGTGGCAGGCCATTCCAGCAATCGTAGCACTCTGGAGGTAGAAGCAGGGAGATCGAGATCATATTCAGCTACATAGTAACTTTCAGGCTAGCCTAAACTACATGAAATCCTGGTGACAACTCCAGGTGCTATCCAGCCGAAATGCCTGAATAGTCACATCTCTCCCCTAAGCCCACTATCACCTGGCCCCAGGTCACTCAGGGCCCCATCTTTTTCCTCCTTGGCTTCACCACGAGTACAGAGCCACATCTGATCACCTACACTGCCACTCGGAGCTCCCAGGGCAAGGCAGTTACTTTCTTAATGTCCCTTCGTTTCTGCCTCGGTATAACTAGAAATACTAAATGACTAACACACAGATGGTCCCTGGAAAGATTAGTGGTCCTCCTCTCCCATGTGAACTGAACGACCCATTCCTTCCTACTGCAAGGCCACCTGAAGAGCAGGTTGTGACCTTAAAGTCCTGGCTTCTTGACTTTATTATTAGAATCTTACGCAGGTGACTCAGCCTCTCCCCCGAGGACCAGTTGGAAAGCTCAACTCTAGCCACCTGAGTCAAAGGTCACCAGAGACTTGAGCAAACTCTGTCACCTCAGATGACTCTCCACCCCAACTAGCTCTCTGCCAGGTCAGGTGACCCAAATCCTAAAGTGAAACTGATACGGAGCAAGAACTTCCACCCTGTGCTGACAGTGCCTGGACTGTGGCTCTCTCCTGCCATGTCTGCCCCCATTTTTAGACACAGGCTGATCATATTTGGTTCACACTCTGACCCTTGAGAGGGAAAGTACAGAAAGTTGAAAGACAGACGAGGAGTGTCCTGAAGGTTTTGGCAGGGGGGAATAGACGTTTTCCATGCTTGGGCTGAGAGGTAGCTCAGCAGCTAAGAGAGCTCATACTGCTCTAGCAGAGAACCAGTGTTCAGTTTCCAGCACCCTTATAGGGCAGCTCATTGCCTGTATCTCCAGCTCCAGGGGATCTGAGGTTCCTGGCCTCCATGAGTACCTGCTTGCCGATGCACATACACACAGACTAAAAGTCAGTGGTAGGGTGGTTCCCTAGCAACCCCCCTCCAAAGGAACCCCACTATTACACTTCTTTCTTTTCTTTTTTTTTTTTTTTTTTTTTTTTTTTTTGGTTTTTTGAGACAGGGTTTCTCTGTGTAGCTTTGGAGCCTATCCTGGCACTCCCTCTGGAGACCAGGCTGGCCTTGAACTCACAGAGATCTGCCTGCCTCTGCCTCTGGAGTGCTGGGATTAAAGGTGTGTGCCACCAATGCCCGGCATATTACACTTATTTCACAGAGGAACTTTGCAGGCGGCAAAGGTGAGCTCTGGCATCCCCCATTACTGGGGGTAGAAGGCAGAATTGGGCAGTAAAATATTGAGATCACTAGTGGAGAAAAGACGCCTTCCAGCAATCCCTGACCTTATCACTGAAATTGGAAATGAGGCTGAAATTGCACCAGAGGATCAGGATTTTTTTTTTTTTTTCCAAGACAGGGTTTCTCTGTGTAGCTCTGGCTGTCCTGGAACTCGTTCTGCAGTCCAGGTTGGCCTAGAACTCACAGAGATCCGCCTGCCTCTGCCTCCTGAGTGCTGGGATGAAAGGTGTGTGCCACAGCACCCAACAACAACAAACATCTAAGGCCTACAGGGTGTCAGTGTCTAGTCTGTATCCTAGGATCTGGGTCACGGTGCTAAATAAGACAAACACGAATCAGGCAGTGGCGGGACACACCTTTAACACCAGCACTCGAGAGGCAGAGGTGGGAGGATCTCTGAGTTCTAATCCAGCCTGATCTACAGAATTAGTTCCAAGAGAGCCAGAGCTACACAGAGAAACCCTGCTTATCTAGGAAAAAAACATAAACAAAAACAAAAGAAACCACGCCCCTCAATTTACTTAAAGGAGTGGAAGGGTGGGAGGCACAGTATGAGGTCTTGGATAAATAAGGCAGCTTGGAAGCCCAGCGTTGACATCTCTCAACTGGATGGCCCTGAGCAAGCTTAGTTACTTCATTTCTTCATAGACTCGAAGGGCACCATCTTGGGTTGGATCAAAGGTCCACACATTCAGAGCTTTCCGACATCTACCCACTGCTCTGTGAGTATACATGGGACTTGTATAAAAAAGGGAATAGAGGCACATGTCTTTAAATCCCAGCACCCGGGATGGGGAGGCAGAGCAGGAGTTGAAGGTCATTCTGGACTACAGAGCAAGTTCCAGACTAACCTGGGCCACAAGGAACTTTCTCAAAGGCTCAAAGGGTAGGGCATTGTCGTGCAGAGAACAAATACAAAAAACGCTGAGAGCTGTTTTTGGGCAGGGTGTGGGGATGAAACTGCCTCTGCAAGAGGAAGGATTGCAGGGTGTTGGGACTCAGATCTTTTTTCTTTTCTTTCTTTTTTTTTTTTTTTTTCCTCCGAGACAGGGTTTCTCTGTGGCTTTGGAGGAGGCTGTCCTGGAACTAGCTCTTGTAGACCAGGCTGGTCTCGAACTCACAGAGATCCGCCTGCCTCTATCTGCCTAGTGCTGGGATTAAAGTCGTGACCCACCACGGTCTGGCGGTCTGGCGTGACTCAGGTCTTCAATCCACCAAAAGGGAAGTGAAGGTAGGACTAGGAGTTTAGGGCCAGGCCTAGGATAGGTGAGGTCAGCACAAGCTACAAGAGATCAAGACTCAAAATTAAGCCAAGGGTCTCTTATTTTCCTGTCTCTCTCATCTCTCTCGCTCTCCCCCTCCCCCACCTGGAATAAACTCTATGGTTAACGTAAAAAAAAAAAAAAAAGTCAAACAAGGAAACTGGCAGGGTAAGGAATACAGTGGTGCCTGTTAGTTCTCTCAGGGATGGAGGTGAAGGGGGTGCTGGCGGTTTAGGGAGCAGGGACAAAGGGCTTGAAGGACCGGATGGTCCATCAGGTAGGTTGTCAACTTTTCTGCCTAATGTTTTTGGAAGCACGAAGCGCTGATATTTAGGTACCATCCCCTTCCCCTGTCCTGCACAGACCTCACCGAAATTTGTGGACTGGCTTTGCTGCAGAGCAGGACCGGAATAAGATTTAGGAAAGGCTAGCTGGGTAGACCCAGGTCTGAGTGCATCTACTTCTTATCTTACCCATAAATCCTGTTCCGTGGCTGAAATGAGTTGGTGTTTGTGTTTGAACTCTTGGGACAAATCGTTCTCCTGGGTCAAGTGCTGGGTTTCACAGCACGAGCTCAGGAAATCCAGGTTTTACCTCTTCTCTCTTGATCACAATCTAAGGGCTGGGAAGGATGGGAAAGCTCCGGATAGCCGAAAGGGGCCAGGAACGCATTCTCGGGACTTAGGAGAAAGCGAGGGTTTTATCTGCACCGCGATGCTCGGCACCGAGTTGGCTCTCCAACTCCGTGTTTATGCGGTGCTGGATGGGAGAACCCCTCTGCCGGCAGGCACGAGTACCGGGTAATCCGGGGACAGGGTTCCGAGGACGCCGTGGCGGGACGCCGTGGCTCCTCCCGGAAGGGCAGAAGACCCCGAGCTCGGCGCACGCCGGCCGCGCGCTGCTCTGCGGTTCCGGTCACCAAGCTGTCCGGCGGAGCTCCGCGACCAGGCGGACTGGAGGGCTGTGGAGGGGCCGCGTGGAGACTCCCCACGCCGAGCCCGGCAGGAGGCGGGGAATGTGCCAGCGACTCACGCACGTGCCACGCGCACGCAGAGGGTGCGCGGTCTGTGGGGGGCGGGCGTGGGGTGGCGTGTGGGGCTGGGCCTGCTCCGCCCCCCGCCGGGGCTAGGGCTCTGGCTCCCCGGCATTTAAAGGGGACGCGGCGGCGGCCCCGGGGATGGGGAGCAGGTGGAAGGGACGGAAGAGAAGCACATCATCCACGGTCCATTGGGACTGGAGGGACGGGTGAGCCGGAGCTCAGAAATCCGGGGGTGGATAAGACCGCGTCCCCCCAATTCCCGTAAGCACCCCTTGCTCCATCCTGCCCTTAAAGCCCTTAACTAGCCCCCTTCCCACTACTTTTACTCCAAACTCAACCGGGACAGACAGCGCCACCGCCGCTGCCCCGCATGAGTCTTGGGCTTCGGGAGGAACGCGATCTCAATGTTGGGGTGGGGGCCGTGTGGAGTTTGAGGGTGTTTCATGCGCTTGGTGGTGGGGTAATCCCTGGGGCAGCGAACTGAGCCCCCTTCTTTCTCAGGTTCATGGTGCCCAGTGTCCCTTCATCTCCGGGGACTATCATAGCTCTCCGCCACCCACAAGTCCTCCCTTCTCCCCGGAGCTGCGCACCCCCCGCCCGCATCAGAGCGAAGTGCCCGCCAGCTGGGGGTGTGCCAGAGTGCCTGCTTTCCAGTCACCTCTAAAAATATCTCTCTTGCTACCCCACCGGCAGCTGCCATCTCCCTGCCCCTACCCAGTGAAGATCAACCTCTGCTTGTCTACCCAGGCAGGGGATCCCAGAGGCGACGCCTAGTCCCAGATTCCTCACTGGCACTAGGGCATAGATCATTACTCCCTAGCTAGCTAGGACAGGGAACATTATAGTCTCTTTTGCTGGCGGGGAGGGAGGTTCAGATAGTTTCTCCACAAGGCCCCTGAGTTCTACCTGTTTGTGAAGCTGTGTGATGCACATGATATTAGCAGACCTCTCTGGGCCTCTTCTCTCCCGTCCCCCAATTAAGGGTTAATGAACAAGAAAGGGATTCATTAAGTTGGGAGTGTTAGGGGCAAGAATCACAGCTTTGTTTTTTTTGTTTTTTCTTTTCTTTTTGTTTTTCGAGACGGGGTTTCTCTGTGTAGCTTCGGAGCCGATCCTGGCACTTGCTCTGGAGACCAGGCTGGCCTGGAACTCACAGAGATCTGCCTGCCTCTGCCTCCCGAGTGCTGGGATTAAAGGCGTGTGCCACCAACGCCCAGACAATTAAGCAGAATCCCAGCTTAATTGTCAAATCTGATTTTGAGTGACTGGCATACTTGGAGCAGAGAGGGCTTGTTACTGTGGTATTTCTGAAGTCCTCACCCTCCATGTTTCTTGTGGAAAACTCCCCAAACTTTCCTATGGGCTCTTCTACTCTCTTCCCCCATTAGAATTTCAAGCTTAGAGTTTATAAGCCAATACAGATCCCAAACACACAAACAGATCCTTACCCCACATTCTCACAGATTTCACTTGAGAATTTGTGCCAATGCAGGGAGGGAGCAGGCTGCAAGCCTGTGATCAATGGGATCAGGACCACAAAAGTTGATCTTACGTGGGACTAGAAAAGAACTTCCTTCCATCCCAGAAAATCTGCCTCCTCCCTGCTCTAGCATGCTGAAGAATCTCAGATCCTGTCCCCTTTTCCACAGCAGACTCTGGTGGCCACACAGGATTTTTTTTTTTGGGGGGGTGGGAGGTCCGAGGCAGGGTTTCTCTGTGGCTTTGGAGGCTACTCTTGGAACTAGCTCTTGTAGACCAGGCTGGCCTGGAACTCACAGAGATCCCCCTCCCAAGTGCTGGGATAAAGGCGTGTGCCACCAACCCCCGGCATGTGAGTGACTTTTTTTGTGTGGTTGTTTTGAATTAGGAACTTTATGTGCAGTTCAGGCTGGTCTTGAGCTCAGATTCTTCCGCATCATCAGGCCAGGCAACTGCCATTGGCCTTTTCAAATGCTATGAAGCCAAATAATAATTAGGGATATGCTTCCCCTGCTGTGGGGCCAGGATGGGGTGCCACAGTGAGGGCTGTCTTAGCTTCTGGGAAGGAACCCAGGATGCCTGGCTTTCTGTTCTGCATATTAAAAATACGATTACCAGGAGTGGCAGCCCTGGACTCTAATCCCAGCACTTGGGAGGCAGAGGCAGGCAGATCTGACTTCGAGGCCAGCCTGGTCTACATAGAGAGTTGCAGGCCAGCCAGGGTTAGGTAGTGAGATCCTGTCTCAAACAAAAATGAAGATTTCCATAAACATTAGGTAAAAACATAATTGTGTCTACTGTGACACATAAAGGTGTTTTTTGTTTGGTTGGTTTGGTTTTTTGAGACAGGGTTTCTCTCTGGCTTTGGAGGCTGTTCTGGAACTAGCTCTTGTAGACCAGGCTGATCTTGAACTCACAGAGATCCACCTGCCTTTGCCTCCCTAGTGCTAGGACTAAAGGCGTGTGCCACCACCGCCCGGCTACGAGGTTTTGAGCATAAGATCAGTATTTTTTAAAAGGAAGACAGGCAAATAGTTGGCCTTTCTCTCCCACTAGGAGATGAAAATTTATCTTAACAGGGCAGGGTATTTGTTACATGCCTGGAATCCCTGTGCTCAGGAGGCTGAGTTCAAGTCCATGTTGGGCGACCCTGTCTCCAAGTTAAAAACACAAAACAAAAACATTGGATTAAGGGCATGCTGTATAACACCTGAAAAGCCCAGTGATCAATCAATCCTGGTTGAGAGGGAGGGAAGGAAGGAGGAAAGGAGGGAAGAAACAGAATGAGAGAAAAGAAAGTTGCTCTATGTAGCTTTTGGTGACCCACTTGTACCCCTTGTACGTGTCTCTTGCTTCTCTGTCTGCCTGAAGCTATCCCTCTTGAAGATTGCTTTTTACAATGGGTGTGGCACCCCTAACCTTTCTCCTCTAACTCTTGTCCTGGGACAAAGGTTGTATCAGCTATGACCGTTCCCTTAACATCCCTTGCATGCTATCCCCTGTCCCTCATCCCCTTCTCTCTCACTATCTCAACAATGTTGAGTTTCCCAGGACACTGCCACTTTTTGCTAGTGAGCTTTAATTTCCTTTCCTTCCACTTACTAGCTGTAAGTTTGGGGGGGGGGGGGGCACTAAACATTACTTCCCATCTCTGCTGAAAAAGCTTTGCCATAAGGAAGCAGCCAGTATGAAGTGTCACAGAGACTGGACCAGACCCCGTGTCCCCCTGGTCATACCCTAGTTTATTCGGGAGGCGGTTGTCTCTCCTCTGCCCTGGGATGGTCAGGGAGCGAGCGTCACCTTGACAAAAGTCAGAATTTTCCGTGCTACCCATTGTCACCACTAGAGGGCAGAAGCCAGCTAAATCTTTGCTATCTCTTTGGTACCTTTCCAATTCCAAGCTGTATCTTTCTAAATTTAAGGGGCTGACCTCTGGTCTCTCAACCTGGGGGTGGAGAAATAGGGGAGTAGGGAGGCACCAGAAGCTGTAGATGGTATTCTATGTAGCTTCATTGATGAAGGCCCCAATCGGTCACCTAAACTCTAGTAGAGATTTCAGCCTGCCCTGTTGGTGAGACCCCTGAACAAGGTAATGCTGGAGGTAAGTCTCATATCTCATGTAGAGCCCAGGGCTCTCAGCCTCTAGACAGTGGTGAAGCATTCATGAACCAAGTGCTGCACTGCTTGAACAATACAGCCTCTAGGAAGTGAGTTAATCTCTCTGTTCTCTGCCTTCTTGGGTCTGATGAACCATGAGTGAGATTGGGAATAAAGGTGATTGGTAAACTATGATTTGCCCTACTCATGTGTGAGCAAAGGTCACACTGGAGAGAGAGGCCTTGGACCAACCTCTGAGATCTGGTTTTGAAGTCTCAGCTACTTTGAGTGAGTGGCTTTTGAGCAAGTCCCTTAGCCTATCTGGTGACCTATCTTGCAGGAGTGCCCTTTGGTACGCCTGGGACCTGGCCAGTGATGTTAACACCAAGGAGCCTAAGTGTACTTTTTTTTTGGGGGGGGGGTCGAGACAGGGTTTGGAGACTGTCCTGGAACTGGTAGACCAGGCTGGTCTCATAGAGATCCGTCTGCCTCTGCCTCCTTGGGATTAAAGTGCTGGGATTAAAGGTGTACTCCACCACCGCCTGGCCTAAGTGTACTTTTAAGAGTTTGCTCCCTGCTGAGAACCTGGGAGAGGCCTGTGTACTTGCTGGAGTAGAGTCAGGTGGGCATGAATGGTGAAAGGGAAGCCAGTAGGAACTTTGTGTGAGGAAAAAGCACTTTGTTTTTGAGCCAGAGTCCCTCTACATATCCCTGGCTGCTGGAACCCGTTATGCAGACCAGGCTGGCCACTTGCTTCTGCCGCCCTCCCAACTGCTGAGATTAAATATGTGCACCAACACACCTCAAATGAGCAGGTATGAATTTCTGTGGGTTTTTGTTTTTCAGGAGCTGTGGATAACAGTTTGAGACCAGCAAAGTCTCCGGAAGTAGACGCTCAGGATAATACACTGACAATGAGCGGGTGTTTTCCAGCTGTTGGCCTACGGTGCCTGTCTAGGGTAAGCGGGGTGGGGGGACCTTCAGATTGAGGCCTCAAGCCCCAACTTTTCCACCCTGAGATAGGAGGAGCTCTCTCCAGTCCCTTTTAGATTTGCCCTCAATCCCTGGAAATTTCTCTGGTGTGGATCCTGGTGCCTTACACCCTCAGCCATAGAGATCCCATGCCACTGAAACTCCCACAGGCCGATGGTAAACCCCAGGTGACTACCCGTGGGATAAAGTGGAAGGGACAGTTCTCTTAGGGAGCCAGGGAGCCATGTTCCAATCCCAACTCTGAAATGGCTTCAGCTGTCCCTGTTTTACAAAGTCATCAATACCCCAGGAGTAGTGGTGGGTGAGGGCTTGGGTTGTAGGTCAATTGGTGGAATGCTGTTATCTCAGCACTGGGGTGGTGAAAACAGAAGGATCGGGAGTTCAAGTTTTCATCCTCAGCTACACAGCAAGTTTAAGGTCAGCCTGAGCTACATTAAACCCTTTCTTTAAAAAGAAGTGAGCCGGGCGTTGGTGGGTCACTCCTTTAATCTCAGCACTGGGGAGGCAGAGGCAGGCAAATCTGAGTTCAAGGCCAGCCTGGTCTACAGAGTGAGTTCCAGGACAGGCTCCAAAGCTACACAGAGAAATCCTGTCTCCGAAAAATAAAAAAGGAAGAAAGAAGCGGTTGTGGTTGTGTGAGGAGAAAGCAGGTTCCGTGTGGGAGAGCTGGGATAGGAAGTGTGTGCAGAGAGAGAAGGTGGATATTCCAGGACTCTGCCCCTTATATACAGCGGCTGGCAAACAAAGTTGGCAGGGACATGTAGATGGGGGCTCCTGCTGTGTCCATGTGCTTGCCTTTCTTCGTGCCCCAATACTCCCATTGTATCCCCATCCTCTCCCAGGACTTTGCCCAAAGTCCTGCTACCCAGAGCTCCCACAGTATTCCAGTAGTCTACTCTACCCTCCCACCCCCACCCCTGCCTGACTTCCTAAACACCCCCTCCCCCATGTCGGGCTCCTGCTAGCTGCCTGCCCCTTCCTCCTGCTGCCTGTTTAGCCACTGCTGCTCTCTTTCCTTTCCCCTACCTGTCTCCCAGGTATGCTGTGGCCTGGTGATGGGGGCTCCCATCTCCCTAAGCCCCATTGCTTCTCCTGCCGCCTGCTTGCTACGGACTCTGGCAGAAATCCTACCCGCTGACCACTTCTTCCCAGGGAATTGGCAAGTGATTAGCAATGAGCAGCAGCACAGGGCCCTATAACTCCCTGGAGGAGCTATGTCTTATCCCTAGCCCCCTGCCCAGAGCCATCTGGCTGGAAGCAGCGGCCAAAGAGCCTCCCTGGGTCTTGTGTGGTCTGCATTCCTACCTGGTGGTAATTTCGAGGGCTAAAATCTAGTTCTCTGGCCAGGATGTAAGAGGATCCGGAACCTGTTTTCCAAGCTGACATCCAGGCCGGGGAAAGACCTGACACACGTTGCCTACCTGCCTTGGTGATGCCAATGGCTTTTCCTGGAGCCTAGATGCTCCATTAGCCTTTGATCCATGAATCTTTCTTCCGCTCTGCTGGGTTAGAGCAGCGGGTGTGAGGTTTGCCCACTATTGTCTTCACCCACCACACAGGCCACCAGAAGTCTCCAACCCAGTTAAGGAACCTCAAGGAGTGACCCCTGACAAGTCACTCGTCCTTTTCCTAAGCTGACCTTTGCTAAGTCCCAGGGACCCCAGAAACGGAAGCCAAGGAAGCCTTTGGCTTCAAGAATAGTGTGGCCCCCTTGTGTCAACTCCGCATGATTAACTGGGAGCCAGGCAAGGGACGGCGGGGTGTGGGCCATCTGGTTCCATCTCCAGCTTAACCAGTCTTGGGTCCTCCTCAGGTCTTGGATGTGCCAGCGATCCTGGCTGTGGCCTGCTAACCAGACTCTCCCCGGCCGGCTCCCGCCGCGCCGCCTCTCGCTTGTCCCCTCCTCCTGCTCCTCTTCCCCCTGCTCCCAGGACGTGAGGATGGCTGCGCCCGGCGCACCTCGCTTCCTCCTGACCTTCGACTTCGACGAGACCATCGTGGACGAAAACAGCGACGACTCGATCGTGCGCGCTGCGCCCGGCCAGCAACTACCTGAGAGCCTGCGTGCCACCTACCGCGAGGGCTACTACAATGAATACATGCAACGCGTCTTCAAGTACCTGGGTGAGCAGGGTGTACGGCCGAGAGACCTGCGCGCTGTCTACGAGACCATCCCCCTGTCGCCGGGCATGGGTGATTTGCTGCAGTTCGTAGCCAAACAGGGCTGCTTCGAGGTTATCCTCATTTCGGATGCCAACACCTTCGGAGTGGAGAGTGCCCTGCGTGCCGCTGGCCACCACGGCTTATTCCGCCGCATCTTCAGCAACCCGGCCGGGCCCGACGCTCGAGGACTGCTGACGCTGCGGCCCTTCCACACGCACAGCTGCTCGCGCTGCCCCGCCAACATGTGCAAGCACAAGGTGCTCAGTGAATACCTGCGTGAGCGGGCCCGCGACGGCGTGCACTTCGAGCGCCTATTCTACGTGGGAGACGGTGCAAATGACTTCTGCCCCTTGGGGCTGCTGGCAAGCGGGGACGTGGCCTTCCCAAGGCGCGGCTACCCCATGCACCGCCTCATCCAGGAGGCACAGAAGGCTGAGCCCAGCTCCTTCCGCGCTCACGTGGTGCCCTGGGAAACGGCCGCCGAGGTGCGCCAACACCTGCAACAGGTGCTGAAGATGTATTGAAGACCATCACCTGCCAGGGGAACTCGGGGAGAGCCGGCGGCGGAGACAGGGCAGGATTGGGAATTGCTTAAGACCACCTGGTTTTCTTCCTTCTTCCCCTTCGCTTTGCTACGCTCCTCTGGGCATTTCTGGAATTTTGTCCGCTTTGTGGGCTGGGAGCGGAGGTTAAGCGCCGTCCCTAATCTATGCAGTTATCGCAGCTCGGCTGCCTCCCCTCCAGGGAGTGGTGAGCACCCCTTGGAAGGCAGGCAGTGTCCCTTGAACTGAGGGGAAGGGGCTCCTGGCAGTTGGGAGGAGACATCTCCCGATACTTTAGCTGCTGCGTAACCTCCCCTCCGCGGGCTTCTCTCGAACGGACTCAGGATCCCCCAGTCCGCATACCAGCACCTCGCGCAGACCTGTGATGCTCTCGGAAGACAGCTCCTGGGCATCTTTGATCTTGCTTCAGCCACCGCAATCCTACACTAGTGCTGCGCTGGCGGCGCCTTGCTTCCTTCCCCCGCCCACGCCAGAGACCAGCAAAGGAAGAAAAAGCCAGAGAGAGCAGCCACCTCCTACTGGTGGAACGAGGTAGAACCAACCAATGACCTCGGAGAGTGTGACAAATCCTCTCACTCCAACCTCATCTACTGCGTCTAGAGACCAGGGACTTCACCAAAGTCGTCCTCCGCATCCCCCTTCGCCCTTATGGAACAGAAAGCCATGTTTTAAAGCAGAGCCAGGGAAACCCAAGCCCCTCCCCCCTCTAGTGTTTCAGAGCTATAAAGGAGGTGAAGGGGGACAAAGTGACTCATCTCTTGCGCCCCGCTGTCGCCGCCACAGTAGGAGGGGTGAGGGAGGTGCCCTTTGCTCTCAGCCACATGGAAGTGGGGGAGGCTTGAGGAGCCCACACCGAAGACAAGCAAGAGGCAAATGGGGAAATATGCCAGGAATGGGGTCTAGAGCTGGGGTCTAGTGAGAATAGTAAAGAGGACTGAATGGAGAGGTCCTTCTGGGACCTTCCCTTGTTTCCTTTCCTCCATCACCACCCACCCCCCCACACACACCCTCTAGGCCTGCGGGGCAAATATCAGGAGGTCATGGGTTTTATTCAAAGCTGTCTGGGCAAGGTGCCAGAACTCCTTGGCTTTGGGGGTTTTTTGGGTGGATTTCTCCCCCCATATGCAGCAGTCCTGGGTACCACCTCTCTCTGCCCCTCCCCTACGCTGCTGTGTGGAGCAGGTGCTGAACACAGTTCACAGCCCAAGAGGTAGACAGGTCCTTAGTGCAGCCTTGACTGTGGCGCTGGCTTCTTGGGACTCAAGAGTCCCACTGAGGCAGTGCTGGGTTGGTGCAGGGATAGATCTGGGCTGTCAGCAGCTGGGCTCCACATAGTTCCCTGGGAAGAATCCAGTGCCCTCTGAGCTGACTCCCTCACACCAGCCGTCAGAGTAGCGGCGGGTGACACAGATGACAGTGCCTTCAGAGAAGGAGAGCTCATTGTCCTTCTGTCGGGTGTATGGGTATAGTGTCACCACTGCAGGGGGCGTAGAGAAAAATCTTATGACATGTGTGCCCTCTGTCCTCCGCCCCCCCCCCCCCCCCCCCGGGTGGCCACAAA